AAATCTGGGCCTGGCCTGGCCTGTTGCTAGTTACAACCAGCTTGAGAATGGTGAATTACATGTAACATATTTTTTTGCCTTCTTCCAGAGACAAGCAAAGACCAAGTCTAGGGTAGGTGTCATTTATTTTAAGATCATCATGAGCAGGGCTTTTGGTCATGGTGGCAATTGTGTGTTTGATTTAAGACTGTTTAAGTCAGGGAAAGCAAGTCAAAGACACCCCCAGTAACAATTTGCTAGGCTATAAATACATGTAAAACAAAAACTGACCCTTGCCCACTATTTTTGTCAACCTGCAAAATAATATTATTATGATTTGTTTACATTTAAACCCATTGCCAAAATTAAAGATGGGTGTGGGGAAGGTGCCATGCCTCGACAAACTAAGTGAGCCACAGGTGAGCGCAAAATGTAACCATGAAAACCCTGTGGGTGTCATTTACTATGCACTGTCACATTGAGAACCTCAGTGGAGAGTTTCATTGATACTTACCAAGACACATCCAGAGGGAGGGAGGGAGGGCTGGGGGGCAAAATGGCTAAAATGAATGCATTGGAAGATAATTTGAGCAAAATAAATTGTCTAACAATTTAAGTACTGTAAAATTTATGAGAAGGGCTGCAAATGCCCAAAGACTGTCTTGCATATGATTAGATGTGGAGGCCACTGGCCAGCATATCCCATGTTTAACCTTGCCTAGATTACTTTTAGCCACATTGTAAATTATGTTATTTATGCACATGTACCATAAATGAAAAAATAATATTCATCTAAATTTCGTTTTTCTTTTTCAGGATTTAAGTGAGATTGGCATCGCAATTGAGCTGATGCATATTCAACCTTCTGATGGTTCCTTTGACTCAAGTCTCTTTTATCAGGTAAGTACATTATTCCCCAATTATTCAAAAATTCATTAATAAGTCATAAAGAAAAAACAAAAGAAATTGATGTTTAACGAGTGTCTTTATATCTGATAAACTAAACTTTACGTCCAATTTTTTAGACCAAAATAACCCCCAATCTTAATAGTAGTGCAAGATTGAGTTGATCTAAAAAGCCGTTCTAAAAAGAAGCCGAAGCCGAAGCTGAAGCCGAAGCCGTTCTAAAAACTCAAGAGTGTATCATCAGGTTTAAAAACTCTTGACTTCGCCTCTAGTTTTGAAACCTGTTAATACACTCCTGTTCATTTTTTAAACTGTACATACAAAACAAATTATTTTTGATAATTGTAATAATTAATTTTATTATTGAAACAGAACAAAACAGGTTATTTTAATTTTCTAGGATCGAAACAATGATAAAAAATCAAAGTTTTTCCTTTACCAAAAACAAATAAGTTGGATCCTGGAAAAACAGCCAGAAAAACAGCTTGATTTTTGTATTTGTTTCAGTATGACTGGATCAAGATACTATTTCAATCTACCGATAATAGTAAATAATAATATTATAATTGACTCTGGTCCCAGACAAAGATTATTATTTGGTTTGAAGGAATCTAAGTGTGCAGAATTCTTGTAAACCTTTTTTTGTCAGTATCAAAACAAAAAAAACTGGTTTGAGTGTCTCAGAGACAGACACTAAATTAATGATGGCTAATACTGTCTGCCATCATTTAACCGACAATGTCCGATGAAGTTAACATGTTGGCAATTGGCAACCAAAAGTTTAGTGTTTTCTTCGGTGTCTTACTCGTGCATGCTGTTTTATTTTACGGTATAAACAAGTTTGTTCCACATTAGCCATTCCACATTTCAGGATTTAATTCAAGTGGATGAAGATGAAGAAGGGATTTTGCCTGATCCATCTGAGAAGTTTGAAGAACTACTTTCTAGGTATTGAGTATTAAAAGTGGCACTCCAAGCAAGTTTCAATCTCATGTCAAATTTTTCCGTTTCTTTTAATAACAAACATAAAGAATATTATTTGAAAGGATAATCTGGAAGTCTCCTTGGAGTGAAACTATTATTTTGCTGTAATGATTTATTATAAAATGAGCTAGAAAAATAAGAACATTATAACTTAAGCTAAAATAAATCATATTAAAGTAGAGGTACATGATTGATTGTTGACTTAACCATCCTTGTTTTTCAGTAACTAGTTTTATAGTCTTTTATTCACTTCTGAATATTTTGTGAGGCAGTTCCTTGTATTAGAAAACAATATAGACCAATGGTGCAGATATTCTACCTTGAAAACCTGGAAAGATACATTGTACAATAATATAAGTCCTTTCCGCTACATTGAATAATAAAATATTAAACTGTGTTGCCTTTTCTTTACAAAAACAGAGTGAGGAGGAAGCAGCACAAGAAACGACCCATGGCAACATTTCCTTTGACACTGGGAGATGGGATTGAACTTGGCGTTTCTGTGTAAGTAATAAGCATTCTACGTTTGCCAGTTGATGGAACTTTAACTTCCTGGGCCGGGTTGTTCAAAGCTGGGTTAAGATAACCCAGGGTTAGTGCGCAATTTGAATTCAGATTTGAAAGCTTAAAAGGCGTTTCAGTTTTAATTCTTTTTGTCTACAGGTTGATGATTGGAAGCCCTAAAAATAACAGAGAAAATTATCCAAGAAAATACTTTTGAACATAAGAAAAGGAAACCCGGGTTAAGTGCTAATCGGCCTTTGAACAACTGGGCCCAGCTCAATGTTTGCCCTTGCAAGACAGACAAATTCTGCGCTATTATATATTATTGTAGCTTAAAACATCATAAAATTAAAATGCACAGTGATAATTGGACAAAATTTCAACATGTTATTTACAGAACTGTAGCTAGGTCATTGCCCATAATTAATTTTTGTGGATGTTTGTTTTCTGGTCAGTTTTAACCTCTGTGGAGCTGCAAAAAAATCCAGCCACATAAATTTGGACAGCCGCACAAATGAGGAAATTAGAACTCACACAAAGTATATATGNCTACATTGAATAATAAAATATTAAACTGTGTTGCCTTTTCTTTACAAAAACAGAGTGAGGAGGAAGCAGCACAAGAAACGACCCATGGCAACATTTCCTTTGACACTGGGAGATGGGATTGAACTTGGCGTTTCTGTGTAAGTAATAAGCATTCTACGTTTGCCAGTTGATGGAACTTTAACTTCCTGGGCCGGGTTGTTCAAAGCTGGGTTAAGATAACCCAGGGTTAGTGCGCAATTTGAATTCAGATTTGAAAGCTTAAAAGGCGTTTCAGTTTTAATTCTTTTTGTCTACAGGTTGATGATTGGAAGCCCTAAAAATAACAGAGAAAATTATCCAAGAAAATACTTTTGAACATAAGAAAAGGAAACCTGGGTTAAGTGCTAATCGGCCTTTGAACAACTGGGCCCCGCTCAATGTTTGCCCTAGCAAGACAGACAAATTCTGCGCTATTATATATTATTGTAGCTTAAAACATCATAAAATTAAAATGCACAGTGATAATTGGACAAAATTTCAACATGTTATTTACAGAACTGTAGCTAGGTCATTGCCCATAATTAATTTTTGTGGATGTTTGTTTTCTGGTCAGTTTTAACCTCTGTGGAGCTGCAAAAAAATCCAGCCACATAAATTTGGACAGCCGCACAAATGAGGAAATTAGAACTCACACAAAGTATATATGCGTGGTGAGTACTTATTGATCAACTGTATAACACATTATTTTAGTAACATGACATTAAAAATTTAAAATTTGTAACACTCATACATTTCGCTTTTGGACCTGTAAGTTAGGCAAAGATACTTTTATTAAATTTTGTGTCTAGCAACTGCAGTTTTTATTTTAATTTTGGGGTCTCACAATCTTTATATTACTTTTATTGTATTTTGAATCTTTAATAGGATACTGGAAGGGAGCTAATGCCAACAGATATACAGCTCTATCAGATGTTTGGGGGACAAAAAGTAAGGCTGTATAATGCTTACCAGTATAAATTTAAAAAAAGAAATGCATAGAACACCTTCTTGACTTAATGTACATTTTGGCATTTATTTTTGAGAGCAATACTACATTGGAACCGTTATTGATGGGACACCCTTGGGACTGAGGAAGGTGTCCCCTGAATAGACATTGGGGTGGGGTTTGTTAATGATTAACCAACAAAGAAAAAAATAACAATTAAATTTTATTTTGCTTTGGAATCAGCTTCAGTCATTATTTGAAGCAGCTTAGATGTTCTACAACTATAATTGGCAAATACGTGTGTTGAATTCCCACAAGTGTCAGTTCATTGATTTATGTGAGACAGGCTGTGTAATCTTTTAAACTTATCAACCCTTCTTGTTGTCAGGCATGTTTTGAGTGCCAAGGTGTCCCCTGAATGGAGGTTAAACCTGGGTTTTAGGACCCACAATCGACGACAAAATTAGCTGAGACACTTTACTGAAAGGGGGTTTTTGACGTTTTATCGACTAAAGCTTGTCCTCCCCATCCTCTCCATGCAATGATGTGCTGCTGTTTATGTTACACTGTACCTGTAGAAAACAATGAACACACCAACTTTGAATGGAGGGGAGGGGGAGGAGTGTAGATTCTCTTGTTCCCTAAAATCATCCTACAACAATTTTGTCGCCGATTGCAGAAAAAGTGTCCCTTTCCCCTGAAGAAAGGTGTCCCTTCAGTAAAGGCGACAGATATAAAGATTATGTGACTGAAATTTTTCCGGGACCAAATTGTGTGTCCCCTGAATGGACTTATCCCTTGAATAGAGGTGCCCAAAAGGAGATATTCCACTATAATATTATTTATTATTTTTTTCAAATTCAGGTCATCTTTGAGAAAGAAGAAGTTACTGCTATGAAGACATTTGGTGATCCAGGTATGA